GATCCCCCCCAAATCCTCCCAGCACGGTGCCGTGAAGGGCTCGACACGTACTCATTGCAGCTCTGCCCCTGGCTAGTTCTCATCTCTAACTCCCGCTCAGTCCTGGTCTTCTGCTTGGTGGTCCAGGAGCTGTGCGTGTCCAAGGACGCCTGCTTGTCTTTCCAGGATGCTTGGTCAGTCAGTCATTCAACAAGCATTGATTAAGCCTATGTTCTAGGCACTGGGGATACCAAGAAAGGCAAAAACATGGTTCCTGCCCTCAAGGAGCTTACAGTCTAACAGGAGACAACACGCAGATGACCATGGACGTTAATAGATGGAAGTTAGCATCAGAGGGAAAGCACTAGTAGGTGGGGGATCAGCAACTGATATAGAAACAAAGGGGAAGGGGGAGGAGGAAGAGAATAAGCATTTATATTGCACCTACTGTGTGTTAGGCACTGTGCTAAGTGCTTTTACAAATATGTCGTTTGATCCCCACAGCAACCATGCAAAATAAGTGCTGTTATTATCCCCATTTATAGTTTAGGAAACTGAGGCAAACAGAGGTTAAGTGACTTGCCAAGGGTCACGTGGTTAGTAAATGTCCGAGGCAGGATTTAGATTCTAATCTTCCTGTCTCCAGGCCCAGCACTCCATCCATTGGGCCACCATCTGTCCTCTATGGAGGGAGAGGGAAAAGTCAAGGATAACTAAGGCTACAAACCTAAGTAACTAGTCCCCTTCATGCTGGCCCCTTCCTACCTCATCAGTCTTGCTTTGTGCTCCTTCACACACTCTACAATCCAGTTCTGCGTTCCTCACGTCCTCCATGCCATTTCCCACCTCCACTCCTTTGCACTGGTTGTCCCTCGTGCCTGGACTGCCCTCCCTCCTCACCTCTGCCTCTTTGAATCCCTGGCTTCTTCAAAATTCAGTTCAAATGTCACCTTCTGCAGGAGACCTTTTCTGCAGCTCCCCTTCCCACCATCCCTGCCCCATCCTTCCTGTTAAGGGGACCTTCCATCTGCTCCCTATGGGTCTTTCACGGACCTATTCTTGGTTTCCTCCATTAGGATGGAAGCTCTTGGAGAGCAGGTCCTGTTTGGCCTTTTTTGGGGGATTCCCAACACTTAGGGTCTGCTTCACAGCAAGTCTTAAGAAATTGCTTGTTGATTGGCTGATTGAGTGAGACTAGGTCTGAGGGGGTAGCTCATGAATTCTGCTTTGAACATGTTGAGTTTGAGACGACTGTGGGACATCCGGGTGGAGACATACACCACGCAGTGCGGCTACAGGGCTAGCGAGAGGTAGAATAATTCTGGCGGGACCCTCACATCTGCTCATTATCATTATAGAGATGACAGCTGGACCTGTGGGAGCTCATGAGATCACCAAGAAAGAAGGTGTAGACAGAAAAAAAAGAAGAGGGTCCAGCAGTCTTGGACAGCCAGAGGGAGGGAACGGGCGATGCGGGATGATCCTGAGAAGAAGACTGAGGAGGGGGAGAATCAGCAGAGAGAGGAGTCACACAAACCCAGGGAGTGTGCCCAGGACGAAGGCATGGCAGCCCTGGCGAAGGTCACTGAGAGGTCCAGGGTGAGGCCTGAGAAAGGGAGCACAGAGAGATCTCTGACAACCTGGGAGAGAGCAGCGCCGGCTGAGGGCCTAGCTCACAAGCCAGCCTGCCAATGTGGCCATTGGCTCTTGAGAAGGGCAAGGGGACATGGGGCGCCACCTGTCCTCTGCGGGTGGCTGCCCTGACACGCCGCCCTGGAGAGAGAGCGCTTTTTCAGCTTCTTCCAAACCTCTGCCACCTGAGTGGTGTCTTCCTCAGGGCAGGGAAGTTCTTTTGGGCCTCTAGGGTATAGAACTTCTAAGTTCACCGACTCCCTTGAAAGGCTAATCCCATTTACTCCTGGCTACCGGCCCAGTCTGGATGCTCCCTTGAATGAATTTGGTTAGTGAAATTGAGCCCAAGTAATGAAGCTAATTTTCTGATGCATGAGAGCCCTGGAGAAGGTGTGTGGGCCTGCTAGACATTTGGCCGTAGAGGTGGGGTTCTCGCCTCTTTGTCCAACCAGGAGCTTGGGTGAGACTGGGAAGCTGAACCCCGCCGTGGAAAATCAGAATTCAAAACAGCATGTACATGGAAACATGTGTGGCCCTTACCACCAGACCTCCTCCTGAAAAGGGACCTCAGAGGACATCTGGTCTAACCAGGGCCCGAGCAGGAGTCTCTGCACAAAAGCGCCAACCAGGGATCATTCCGTCTTCTTGAAGGCGTCGGGTAGAAGAGACCCCCTCCCTCCCGAAGCAGGCCATTCCAGTCTGGGGCAGCGCCCATGACTAGGTAGTTAATCCTGACATCAAGTCTCTGCTCCCAGCTCAGCCCTGCGGGGCCATCCGGAACAGACACAGCTCTCGTGTGTCCCCTGGGGTCTCCTTTCCTCCAGACTCACCATCTCTGTCTCCTTCAAGTAGTCCTCATTTGATCTGGCCTTCAGACCTCTCCGTCCTGGGCGCTGTCTTCTAGACATGTCTGTCCTGAAAGGGGGTAGGTACCTTACCAGGGATTTCAGATGAACTCTCACCAGAGCAGAGCAGAGCAAGAGCCTGACCGCCCTCAGCCGATACGTGGGCCACGGATGGCTCTCTTGGTGCAGTCTGAGAGAGCGGTCACTTGGGAGCCTGGTCACACTGTGGACACTGTGTTTGCTATTTACTGAGCCCCCCACATCTATTCCATAGGCTTTTCCAATTCCATTTTTCCAACAGTTGGATCAGAGTTGTAAAGTCTTTCAAAGTTGTTTGACCTTACAATAATGCATCACTTGCTCTCCTGGTTCTGCTCATCCTACTCTACATTAGTTCATATATAATCTTCCCATTTTTCTCTGCAACGGTTTGTATATCACAATAGTGTTCCATCACATTGATATACCGTAACTTCTCTGCCCATACTCCAATGAGCGGGCATCTCCTCAATGTCTAGTTCTTTGCCGTCATAAAAAGAGCTGCAATAAATATTTTTAATAAATGTAATATGTAACAATATATTTATATATTATAATTATATATTTACCTGTATATTATTATGTAATAATGATATATTATTATATAATAATTATATTATGTAACATATACCATATTATATAATAAATATTGTATATGTTTATATTTAATGTATTTATGGATAATAAAATATAATGTATTTGAATAAACATAAAATTTTGAATGTTACAATATTTTTGCAATGTTTTTGTGTATTTCCTCTTTCTTTGATCTCTCTGGGGGTATTGACCTACTAGTAGCATCACTGGGTCAGAAAGTACTCACAGTTGACTAACTTTGGGGGGAATGGTTTCCAATTGTTTTCCAGAATGGCTGGACAAGTTCGCAGCTCCACCAATGATGTATTAATGCGCCTATGTTCCCGCAGCCGCTCTCACATTTGTCATTTTCCTTTTTCTGGTCAGTTTTGCCAATTTGACGTCTGTGAGGCGGAACCTCAGAATTATTTTAACGTTCGTTTCCCTGATGATTAGAACTCTAGAGCGTTTTTCCACGGCCATCAAAAGCTTTGATTTCTTCCTCTGAAAGCTGCCTGTTCACATCCTTTGATCATTCAGCAACTGAGAAATGCCTCTTATTCTTTTAAGTGTGAATCATCTCCTTTTATATCCTAGAAATGAGACCTTTATCAAGGAAATTGGCTGCGAAAATTTCTTCCCATTTATCTGCTTCCCCCCCCCTCATTTTGGCTGTTTTGTTTGTGCAAAAACTTTTCAAGATTTTCCAGAGATTGTTGACGGTAGCTCAGCAATCACATCTCTCCCTTCTATCAGCACTCGAGAAGTAAGCTCCCCAGGCCCGGTAACCTGAACTCATGGAAGGCCACTCGATGCCGCCTTATCGCCAAATCACATAGCTTGGGTTTCTACCTGCTGCTAACTTTCCTTCCCACTGCAAAAACCATCCTACTAGGAAGAAGCCGAAGAAGCAAAAGAAGGGCTGTCCGGGTCAGCCTTGTCGCTGTCGGCCCCTTGTCACCGTCTCGTCCATCCCGAGCGGGCGGCGCTCTTCTCTTCTGCCCCGACTCTGCCCTCCGGCATCCCTGCTCTCTTGTTTTCAGTCTCTCCTTATCTGCCGGCTGCTTCCCTCCTGCCCACGAACGTGCCCGTGTCTCCTCATCCTCAAAAAACCCTCACTTGATCTGGTCATCTCCACCGGCTATCATCCCACACCTCTTCTCCCTTGGGTGGCTAAACTCCTCGAGAAGGCCGTCTACACCAGGTGCTGCCACTTCTATTCTCTCACTCTTTTAAGTCTTTGCGTTCTGTTTTTTGACCTCATCATTCAATCCAAACTGCTGTCTCCAAAGGTACCAATGGTCTCCTAACTGCCAGCTCCAATGGCTTTTTCTCAGTCCTCCTCCTCCTTCACCTCTCTGCAGCCTCGCCCAAGGTCTTCCACTGCATCCGGGGCCATCTCCAGACGTCCTGATGTGTATCTGGCCGCTGGACCCAGATGGCTCTGGAGAAGAAAATGAGGCTGGTGACTCTGCACAGCCCTCCCTCACCTAAACCCAAGTCACTTGTATGTCATGGCATCCCCTCCCTGATGTCATCGGTCTCTTTGAGAACGAAGGACAAACAGCCTCAGCCTTGGACGTCGTTGACCACCCTCTCCTTGCCACTCTTTTCGCTCTAGGTTTTCATGACACCCCTCTCTCCTGGCTCTCTTCCACCCCCTCTGACTGCTCCTTCTCTGTCTCTTTGCTGACTGTCGCGGACCCCTTCTCTTTTCCTTCTATAGTCCCAGGGGTGGGGAACCTGCCATACGTGGCCCTCTAGGTCCTCAAGCACATTTCTTTGAATCCAAATTTCACAGACAAGTCCCTTTCATAAAAGAATTTGCTCTGTAAAACTTGGACTCAGTCAAAAGGCCACACCCAAGGACCTAGAAGGCCACATGCAGCCTCGAGGCCATAGGCTCCCCACCCCTGCTCTAGACTAGTTCACTCAGCCATCTCATCTGCTCCCGTGTGTTCTCAATTATCATCCCCATGCTGACGATTCTTAGATCTGCTTATCCAGCCCTAACCTCTCTCCTGACCTCCAGTGTCAGGAGAGGCAGTGAGAGCAGAGGGGCCTCTGGGAGAGTGTCTGTGTCTGGCCTCAGAGGCCCTCCTGCCTCCTCATTTCTGATTTTGTGGGGGCTGCACTTGGGGGTGAGGGGTGCAGGGACGCTCTATTCCCCAGATGTCCCCTAGACATCTCAAACTCAACACGTCCCAAGCTGAGCTCAGACCCTTCCCCACAAACCATCCCCTTTTCTCAGCTTCCTCCCATCACCCAAGCTTGCAGCCCAGGGCTCAGCCTTGACTCTGCCCTGAGGACTTCCGGGGGTGGGGGCTCCCCCTCTGAGGCTGCTGTGCCAGCGTGACAGGTAGGCTTGCTGCTTCCTCAGAGCTCGCTCGTGCAGAAGCTTGGGTCCCTGCTGCTCCCCACCCCCGCCAGTCCCAGAGGGCAGCTCCAAGGTCCCTAACATCCCAAGGCACACGGCCCTGCCATGAGGCTAGGGTAGACCTTCTCCTCTCCGAAGGCATCGCTGAAATCATCCTGGAGACGTGCTGCATTTGAAGTCAGATGTCCAGGATTCAAATCCTGGCTCTGCTCAATACCCACGTCTTTTCTCCCTTTGGGCCTCAGTTTCCCCTTCTGTACAATGGGTGATTGCACTGGACGGCTGGTGAGTTCCCTTCCGAGCTCTGAATCCATGGTCCTATGGTCAAGTCAGTCCTGCTGCCCAGGGAGGCGTCTGGCATTGACCCTGGATCCCTGGACCTGTGGCCGTGATGCCCTCCTGGCCAGGAGTCTGGTTCTGCCCCTGCCCACCCTTTGGTTCAAGAAATCAGGTAGGTCGACTTCAGCAGCGCGTGCTCCTGTCCTTGGCTCTCGACTGCCCCCATGTGGCCAACTGCGGCACTACACTCCCTGTGCCCCAGGTCAACTCCTGCGGCTCTCCTATGGCTCTCACTGCTTGCCTGGCATTCAAGGCCCTTCACAACCTGGCGCTCCGAGCGCCCCCTTTCCAGCCTCATCTCAGATTCCCTCAGCGCCTTTTCTCCAGCCGAACTAGACTGTTCTCTGTCTCCCCAAACACATTGCTCTCGCATGTCTGTGCTTTGACTCCCCCTCTACCCTTTGGCTAGGATATCCTCCTTCCCCTTCTTTGTCTGCTCAGTCCCATTCACCCACTCAAACTCCTCCTCCTCCAGAAAGCTCTCCTTGAATCCCTTGAGTCAAAAGAGGTAGAAGAAGTAGAAAGATTTCTAGCCTTATGGCCAGACTTCACATCGATTTCCTACCAAGTCATTTCCTTTCTCTCGGCCTCAGTTTCCTCCTCTGCAAAATGGACTAGACCCACCCACACGCATTTATTAGGCACCCACTGTATACCAGGCACCTGTCCTACTATTAGGTGGCTCCAAGGTCCCTCCTAGCCTCTGGCTTTGCAATAGGTAAGGCATCTCCTCATCAGTTTTCACGCCTGGTACCCCCTCTCTCCAATCCAAGATGGCACCCTCTATGATGCTGGGCCTTAGTGGGCCATGCTCTGGAGAGTGGGGCTATGATGCAGCTTCCAGAAGCCCAGAGACACACTTGGGTCCCTACAACGACCCAGCCAGCACTGAGCAGTAGAAGGGATGCTGACAATCTGGGTTTGACTTCATTTATCTGTAATCTCAGTTCCCCTCTCTGGGCTTCAGTTTCTTCATCTGTAAAATCAGGGGTTTAGACCAGATGACCTCTGAGGTCCCTTCCAGCCCAAATCTGTGACCTAATCAGATCTAGGATCCTAAGATTTTTCTAGCACTTTCTGAATTCAGTAGTCCCACATTTTCCTGAATGGAGCATGATGTAACTGGCCAGCATTTAATTTACACAGAGCTTTAAGATTTGCAAATATTTCCTCATTATAGCCTCTCAACCCCTCTGGGAAGTAGGTGCTAATAATGTCCCCATTTTACAGATGAAGAAACTGAGGTCCAGAGACACCAGGATCACACAGCTAGTAAGTGCCTGAGGCAGGGTTTGAACTCAGGTTTTGCTGACTTCAGGCCCAGTACTCTCTGTAGGGCACCACCTGGCTGACTCCTTATTTATTTGTAGAACCTGGCCAGTCACAATCTCTTTGTATGGTCTAGGCCAGGGGCGGGGAACCTGCGGCCTTGAGGCCACATGTGGCCCCCTAGGTCCTCAAGTGCAGCCTAAACTTCACAGAACAAATCCCCTTAATGAAAGAATTTGTTCTGTAGAACTTGGACTCAATCAAAAGGCGCCCCCCCCAGGACCTAGAAGGCCACACGTGGCCTCGAGGGTGCAGGTTCCCCTTGGGAAGGCCAGTCTTCAATGGGCTGGAGAAGCTTTAGTTGTGGGAAGTGCCTGGAGTCATGGACCCACGAGGGGTGGGGAGCCTTTTGAGATCAGTGCCCCATTTGGGGCCCGCAGAGACGCTGCCGGGCCACAGAGAATTCCTGGGGTCCGTCTCCCACTTCTCTGGCGTGGTGACCTTTTCCACTGACCTGTTGAGAAAGGGATCTAGTGTTTCACCGCCCCCCAAGACCCCAGGAACTGAAGCCCTGGTTGCTTCATCTCTTGTCCTGGTGTACGTGGATTCCAAGCAGGTTTTCATGGGAGCAGATGCCTCAAACGTGGCACTACATGTGTATGTGCACAGACGTGTGTGTGTGTGTGTATGTACGTATATATGTATGCATGGATGTGTATGTGTGTGGGTGTCCATCGGCTCCCAGCAAGGTAACTGACCCTAGCGCCCTACAGCCCCGTGCGTTCTCTTGGGCACACTTACCCTGCTGAAGGATTGAGAAGGTCCGTGATCAAGCTCCCACTGGAGGCCGGGCCACCTCTGTGTAGATTAAACTCCAACCCTGGGGCTTTTCCTTAGTTTCACATCCCGCACATCTCTGCAGCCCAGATGTCGCGTCCTAAAAGCTGAGCCCGCCCCTTGAACGTGGGCAGCCTGGATGGGAGCTGGAGACTGAAAAAGTCCACCCTGAGCAGCATCCCTCACAACGAGGCTTTACCTCCCACTCCTTTGGTACCGTCACCAGGTTCTGCCCGAGACTCTTTGGTGGGGCCGTGGCTCAGGGTTACGTGGGAGGGCTCCGGGTCATGTCGGTCATACGCTCATACATCTGGGGCTGAAGGTAACTCAGAGGCCGTCACCTTACAGAGGAGGAAATGCGGCCCAGGTTGAGGAAGTGACTCATTTGCGGTCACGCAGGGAGTGAGCAGGAGAGGAATATAACTCCTTGCAGGCTAATTCTCCCCCTGCTCAATTATCGGTGGCGGGGCCCCGTGCCACTTCTCCATTAGTGATATGTCTAGTTAGTACATTGGGGAATTCTGACTAATTCTGGGGATGTCCACACTACACTGCAGGATCCTTACCCAGGTCTAGCTTCCTAAGGAATTGTGGCTGGCAAAACTCCCAACCCCCCGAATAGGGTGGACTTTGTCACTGGCCCGATGAGGGAAAGCCCCAGCCATCAGATGACCTCTGATGTGCTCACCTCTATCCCCTTATTGAGTGATTTGGGGGCCTCCCTCTTTTGAGGCTGCCAGCTGCTAGATTTGGTAGCTCCAACAAGGTCGTGGGACTGCCTCGGATTATGCCGAGTATAGGATCTGAGCTCGGATGAGGCAGGATTCATGGCCTAATTTCAGGGGAACCTCCGTAACCCGGTCCTGGCTGGGCTCTCCCAGGGGAGTAATGTGGTACTACACCTAGACTCGTTCATCTGCGTCAGAAGTTTGAGTGTCCTTGAACTCTTGGCTGATGGCTATCTGCTGGGACACCGGGGCCCTGACTTCAGCCTTGATCTGTGGCAATGGCCTCCACTCCACCTGTGAAGACCACGCCTACCCTGGTAGGCCGTGGGGCACTACATAGACAAAAATGAAACTGTCCCTGTCTTCCAGAAACAAGAAGTACGTACACCCCTAAATATATACAGAACACACGCACGCACACACACACACACCCCAATCTACTTTTCTTGGCTTCTTTTCTTACTATTCTTCCTCATGCACTATGGCCATAATGGACTTTTCTCCCAGCTCTTCCTGGGATCTCCTACCTACAAGCCTTTATCTTGTTTTCTCTACTTGAATAAATGAATGAATGAATAGATTTTAAAAAGCATTCACTCAGCACCTGCTAGATGCCAGGCTCTGGGGATATACATACCAGAGTGACACCATCCTTGCCCCCAGGATTTAGGCTCTGATAAGACAGTGGGGGCCAGGGAAGGGAGCTTCGCTCTGGGAGTGACCGGGATGCTCAGTGGAGTCATAGGGCCCTTGACTGTCACACCCTTTCCAGGAGCAAAGGTGACATTGTTTGAGCAAGAAAGGAAGTGGGATGTAGGGGATGGGTGGCCTCAAGGCCAGGAAGCCATCTTTCTGCTTGAGGCCCAGCATGGTCCTTTGCTTCACAAATAGAAGGCTGAAGGTTAAATAAATCATAGATTTTGGGGAGGAGGGGTCAAGGGGAGTCCTGCCTCTGAAACGTACTAGCCACGTGACCCTGGGAAAGTCACTTTAACTTCTCAGCGTTCTGGGCACCTCTCTATTGCAAGAATTAGGAAGATTACTCTGGCAGGATTTATAGGCTGGACAAAGGTTTAGCTCAGTGGAGGTGGAGGTAAGGTGGTGGAGCAGGTCCCAGAATACTAGAACGTTAGATTGTAAGCCCCTTGAGGGCAGGGACTGTCTTTTGCCTCTTTTTGTATCCACAGTGACAGCACAGTTCCTGGCACACAGTAGGCTCTTTGTTGTGGTTCAGTCGTTTCAGTCCTGTCTAACTTTTTGTGACCCCATTTGGGGTTTTCTTGGCAGGGATAATGGAGTGGTTTGCCATTTTCTTCTCCAACTCATTTTGCAGATGAGGAAACTGAGGCAAACAGGGTGAGGTTACTTGCCCAGGGTCACACAGACAGTAAGTGTCTGAGGCCAAATTTGAATTCAGGAAGATGAGTCTTCCTGACTCCAGGTCCAGAGCTCATCACTGCACCACCTAGCTGCTTAATATTTATTGGTTGATTATTGATTAAAAATAGCATCAGCCCACTTGCCATGTGGGCAGGGGTTAGCCAAAGTTGTTTCTTGCTCAGACTGAACTGGGTCTGAATTCCTTCACCTGGGAGTTACTAATGAAATCACAAGCCTCGTCCCTACCCCAGAGCAAGAACTGGACAGTAAAGGGGTGGGGGTAGGGGGACATGTGTGTCCACAAAGGCGATGGCAGGTTGCCTGAGTGGATCTCCGAATCTCCCACAGTTCCTTGCACAGGACAGCTACTCAGAATGTTTGCTGAATCATTACATTCAGTCAGACTTGCTGGATTCATTATAGGAAGACCCCCTAGCTCCCAGGAAGGAAGGAAAGACGGAAACAAGCATTTAAAAATATTAGTTACTTATTTTAAACATTCTCGTCTTTTTAAATTTTGAGTTCCAAATTCTCTCCCTCCTTCCCACCCCCTCCCCTTCTCACTGAGAAGGCAAACAACATGATATCAATTATACATCTGCAATCATGCAAACTATATTTCCATATTAGCCGTATTTCCAAAAAAAGCAAGAAAATAAAGAAACTGAGAAAATGAAACAGTCCTCTTTCTGGAGGTGCACAGCATCTTTTCATCATGAGCCCTCTGGAACCGTCGTGCATCGTGCACTGCTCAGAGTGTCCAAGTCTTCCACAGTCGCTCACCATTCCAACATCGGGTTACTGTACACAACGATCTCCCGGTTCTTCTCACTTCACTTTGTATCAGTTCATATAGGTTTTGCCGCGTTCTTCTGGAATCACCCCTCTCGTCATTTCTTATAGTGCAATAGTACTCTATCACAATCATATGCCACAATTTGTTCAGCCATTCCCCAACTGATGGGCATCTCCCCAATTTCAATTCTTTGCTACCACAAAAAGGCTGCTATGAATATTTTTGTGCATAGAGGTCCTTTTCCCACTTTTTTTTTTGTGTGAGGCAATTGGGGTTAAGTGACTTGCCCAGGGTTACACAGCTAATAAGTGTCAAGTGTCTGAGGCAGGATTTGAACTCAGGTCTTCCTGACTCCCATGCCGGTGCTCTATCCACTGCGCCACCTAACTGCCCCCCTTTTCCCACTTTGATATCTTTGGGGTACAGATCTAGCACTAGTATTACTGGGTCAAAGGGTATGCACAATTTTTAGTCCTTTGGGCATAGTTCCAGGTTGTTCTCCAGAATGGTTGGGTCAGTTCACAACTCCACCAACTGCATTAGTATACCCACCTTTCCCTCATCCCCTCTTGCATTTGTCATTTCTGATAGGGGACAGGTGGTACTTTGAAACAAGCACTTATTAAGCACCTACTATGTACCATGACAGTGATGTGCTTGATTTGGAGTCTGAGAATGTGCTTTCAAACTTCATCTCTACCATTTACTCCCTGGGTGATTGTGGAGAAGCCACTTCACTTCTCTGGGGCTTCGGTTTCTACTCATCTGGAATATGAGGGCTCCAGACAAGAAGATGACCTTCGAGGTCACATCCAGCTTGAAGTCCATGTTACTAAGAGTCTAAGAACTCCAGCACTCAATGTCTGCTGCCCTCCTTGCTGGGAGAGGAACCGTGATACATGGTGCCCAAGGATGCTTTTTTTCCAGTTCCACAAGCCATGCTAGTATCTATTGAGCTGACTTTCTTTCTGAGGGCCCAGCGGGCCAATCTGTCCTTTAGTTCACAAAAAGAAGCCTAGGTTTAATGAAATCATGGCCTTTTTGGGAGGAGGGGGTAGGGAAGATCTGGGGGTGAGAAGGCAGACAGAGAAAAGGAAAGATAGGCAGAAATGAGAATAGTTTGGGTAAGGAATGCACGTTATGTGGTGAACCTGGACGTCACTCCCTTTGTTTGGCGCTGGATAGGGAGCGAGGGCATGACTACTTCTATTAAAAAAGCCTAGGCCCAGGTTAGTCAGGGGGCTGAGAGAAAGAGCTGGAAAGAATTGGATTTATCAGCAAAGTGCAGAGTTTGGTAGCTCCTTGAGGGTTCATTATCACTGAATATGAGAGTTCTGAGAACGGATCTGAAGTCATTTAGCCAATGGTTCCAATCGATGGTGCCTTAAGCTTTTTTTTTTTAAATGAGGTCCTTGAATCCATGGCAAATTCATAAACAAGCAAACATACCTTTTGTAGGCTAACATATCTTACACATGTAGGGCCCCTTCTGGGCTCCCCCATCTTTACACCAGCTCTACCCTCACAGGGGGCTGGTTAGGTCCCCAGGGTCGTGACCAATCTTTAGCTAGCTAGCCATTAGGAGCTGGTCTCTACTTACATCAAAGAGCTCTTTTGCAAAAAACAAGTGAAAACTCTCCTTTGAGCTTTATATTATTAGCACCTTCTTGTCTTCAGTTACCAGACCCCTTTCTCTGAATATGGGAACCGGTCTAGGAGGAAATCAATTGATCAGGGGTATTGTGACCAACTCCCTTTCCCCCCACTTAACACTTGCTGTCCCCAGAAAATCATCTCAGTGCTTCTGTGCCATTGGTTCACGGTCTTCATAGTCTCCCTGCTGTCTCTGTATTCTCACCATAGGGGAAAAGAACAATTTGTACAAAGAAAGGTAAATAGCCAGCGTGTCCAAGGGGGATGTTGGGGGGAGGGGTAGTAGGAGCAGCTTTCTTTCCAACGGAAAGCAATCCTTGAGCTGAGTTGTAAAGGAATCCGGGGCTTCTCTGTCTACCTTCTCAGCCCTCGATCCTCCTCACCCCCACCCCCCCAAAGGCCATGACTTCGTCAACCCCAGGCTTCTCTTTGTGAACTAAAGGACAGATTGGTGCTCACGCAGAAAGACGGCTCAACAGACGCTGGCACGTCTTTGGTTCCGTCCTGTGGAACTAGAGAAAAGCACCTTTGGGTACCCTATGTCAGGTCAGGAGGGCAGGGAGGTGGAAGGAGAATGTCACAAGTAGGCCACTTTGGGCCAGTCTGACCTCCGCATTTTACAGGGCAGGATGCAGGGGCCCAGAGAGGGTTCGGCGATTGCCCGAGGGGGGCTGGGACTAGGACCTCGGTTTCTTGGCTCCCAGTTCAGTGTTTTCTGTCCTTCAGACAACTGTGGTGGGTGACAGAGGAAGTGATAGAGGTTTATCAGTTTATTAAGCAATGCATATCACCTGCCCAACACCTCCCGGACCAGACCTCTTCAGCTGAGGACTGGACCCCCAAAATAGGGGGAGACAGGCTATTATACATTAAAAACAATTAGTCACATAAAGCCAAAGAATTAAAAGGAAATACAACTGAAGGTGATCTGATTTCTAACTGGATGAAAGACTAGGCACTAAGTTGGGAAGGGGAGAGTAATCAGGTGCAAATTCCCTGAAATCGGGAAAGGTGCTGTCCCACCCCCTGCCAAGGGTCTGTGAACAGCCAAACAAACATGGAAACATCAACTTATGACCAGCATGGGGCTGGTTTTCAGATAAGACATATGGGTTGCTTGAGATGTACAATTGTGGACCTGACCGGGTTTCTGGTCCACATAACCTGTGTCCTTAGTTAAGGCTCTCTACGCAGCAGGGAGAGATGGTCCAGCTTCCCAGCCAGGCCTGGCCAGGTTCAAACAACACAATAAAGTTTTCTCCCAATTCCCACAACTGGATAAAGTTGGTTTTTTTTTCTCTCACAAAGTAGAAGGTGAACTAGAGTCATAATTGAATAGAAGGGGGCTGAGCTGACTCCAGAACTGGGCCACAAGATGGAGTCGAGGGATCACTCAGTGCCCACACTTAACCACCTGCTGTCCTAATCCCCTCAATTCCCTCACCATCTGCAGTCTCAAATACTCAGTGAAGCTGGGTCCTGGTTTCGAGGCATCCTCCCAAGTGAATTCCATAGCAAGCAGCCCATCCTTACTGACTCCTGTGGTCTTCGAGGAGACAGATAAATGGAGAGAGGAGGAAGGCCCACTCCTTTCCCTAGAACATACCTCATGTGGGTGTACATGCAGGGAGTCAGGATTTTAGAGCCAAAAGCAATTTTGACTCATTTTGCAGAGACCCAGTGAGATGAAGGCAGCTGGTTGGCACCATAGTGCATGGAGCACAGTGCCTAGAGCCAGGAAGACTCATCTTTCTGAGTTCAAATTTGGCCTCAGACACTTACTAGCTGTGTGACCCCGGGGAAGTCACTTCACCCTGTTTGCCTCAGTTTCCTCATCTGTAAAATGAGCTGGAGAAAGCAATGGCAAACCACTCCAGTATTTTGCCAAGAAAACCCCAAATGGGGTCACAAAGAATCAGTGATTTATCCATTTCTCTCATTGTTGATACAAAATGGTGTGAGGGCTCAAAGTTTTTCTGGCCATTTCCTCAACTCCCAGCCCTAAATGAAGCATGGCTTCCCACAGATGTCCTCTCCCCTTCCACCCCCTCTGAAGCAGGTTTCACTGCAGGTGACAGTCTGTGCTTACCTGGTGCTAAGCCGTTGAGAACAGTGACTTGGGTCACTGAAGGGCAGTGCGACAAACAGTGTTAACAGACAGCTGTATGCTAAAGGTAGGTGGTTGGTTTTTTTTAAATTTAAATAGTTGTAAATATAATTTTAAATGACTATCGCTTAAAGTGAAATTTATGATTTTTTTTAAATGAAAGCGGTACCATCTGGTCCAGTTCCAGGCACGACATTCTGGGAAGGATGCTGACAAGCTACAAAGCCTAACGTGGGAGATTCCAAGATGGTGAATGGCCCTAGGACCACACCGTGCGAGAACTGGCTAAAAGAACGAGCCGTGTTTGCCTGGAGGAGACTTAGGGGGACCGTGAGCCCTGTCTCCGAATATTTCAAGGGCAGCTCCCAGGTGATCCTTTCTTCCTCTCAGCTTCTGGGGCCTGGCACTGTCTTTGTCAATGATGTCCCCAGCCCCTTTCCTCCCATTCTCTGGAAAAGCAGCTGCCATGGACAGCCCCATCACCGGCATCTCCCTATCCACAGTGGCCCCGCCTGCCCAGGCAATCTCAAGATGTTCGGACGCTCTCAGCAGCTCCTCAGGAGACATTCTCATCGGTGTAATGATGGGAGTGGGCCCATGCCACCATACCTGCGAGGGGTCTGTGCTCCCACACCCAACGGCGGGGCAGCTAGGGGAGAGGCAGGAGGTAGTGTGTGACATACAGGTGACTCAAACCAGCACCACCACCTCGACCATTTCCCCTCAGACCCCGAGGGGGACACTCCAGGACCCTGAACCCAGGAGCCTTGGGAACAGCTAGGTTTCCACCCAGTGCCCTCGGCCACCATCCTGGGAGATGCAGCCTGGGGATGGCCTCTGCGGGGGCTGCAGCCCCAGAGACACAAAGTCCTTGGTCCTGTCCAATGGTCTGACAGCAGAAGCTGATGTGATTCTGTTGGTGATGACTATTTGCTCTCTTGCTGTGCACTAAGGGCCACGGGACTTTTTGATCTGACTTCCAGCTGGAATCACTCTAGGTTGTCTCCTCCATTAGAATATGAGCTCCCAAACTGTATTCTCCTTAGATCCCCAGAGCTGAGCACGGTGCTTTGCATACAACAGATGCCTAATAAACGCTCTATTTGTTCACTCCTAGAAAAGCCACCAGTGTTGGGGACTCTTTCACCCACTGTCCACCACTCCTGCAGGTATCCTGGCCCAGGGAGAGGGTTGTGGCTTTAAAGCTCTCTCCCTCGCTACAGTGCTGGACCAGCCATGGCCCAGGAAGCCAGTGTGACTGAGCGGGTAGAGTGCTGGGCTGGGAGGAAGGCCTGGGTTCAGATCCCAGCTCTTCCCCCTTGTTAGATGTTTGAGCCAGTCTCAGCTTTCACATCTCTACAATGGGAGCACCGACCTCCCAGGGTGGTTGTGGTGCTCAAATGAGATAATCCATCTAAAGCATGACAAGGGCACAGATCCAGAACAGGAAGAGGCCTTCCAGTCATCTAGTTCAACCCTGGCTCTTCCCACCACCGTGCATTTTTTTTTTTTTTGAGGCAATCAATGACTAATTGACTTGCTCAGGATCACACAGCTAGTGTCTGAGGCTGGATTTGAACTCAGTTCCTCCTGAGTCTAGAGCCAGTGCTCTACCCACTGTACCACCTACCTAGCTGCCCCCACCATGTACTTCCTTTATTTTTATTTTTAAAATTTATTTATTTTTAGTTTTCAACATTCACTTTCACAAGATTTTGAGTTCCAAATTTTCTCTCCATCTCATCCCTCCCCCTACCCCAAGATGGCATGTATTCTGTATACCCCTTCCCCTAATCTGCCCTCCCTTCTATCTCTCCCTGGTCTCTTCTCCCCTTCCCCTTCTATTTTCCTGTAGGGCAGGATAGATTTCTATACCTCATTTCCTGTATTTCTTATTCCTCAGTTGCAAATGAAAACAATTTTTTTAACATGTATTTTTAAAACTTTGGGTTCCAAATTTTCTCCCTTCCTCCCTCCCCACCCACCCTCACTGAAAAGGCAAGCAACTCAATACAGGTTATACATGTGTAGTTATGCAAAACACTTCGATAGTAGTCATATTATAAAAAGCTAAGTATATTTCCCTTCATCCCATGCTGCCATTTATTCTATTCTCTTCTGACCCTGTCTCTCTTCAGAAGTGTCTGCTTCTGATTACCCCCTCCCCCAATCTGCCTTCCCCTCTATCATCTACCTGCTCTCCTGTCCCCTTCCCCCCCCTATTTTCCTGTAGGGTAAGATAGATTTCCATATCCAATTGAGTGTATATGTTATTCCCTCCTTAAGCCAAATCCTGTGAGAATAAGATTCACTCATTCCCTCTCACCTTCCCCCATTTCCCCTCCACTGTAAAAGCCTTTCTTGTCTGTTTCATGTGATAATTTACCCCGTTCTCCTTCTCCCTTTCTCTTTCTCCCAGGATAATCCTCTCTCACCCCTTAATTTTACTCTCCAAATATGACCCCTTCATCTTCAACTCTCCCTGTGCCCCCTATCTATCTATATACATACATATAATTTTTTCCCCTCCAACTACCCTAATATTGACAAAGGTCTCATGAGTTACAAATACCGTATTTCTACACAGGAATGTAAACAGTTTAACCTTAATAAGTCTCTTATGATTTCTCTTTCTTGTTTAACCTCTTCATGTTTCTCTTGAGTCTTGTATTTGAAAGTCAAATTTTCTATTCAGCTCTGGTCTTTTCATCAAGAATGCTTGAAAGTCCCCTATTTCACTAAATGACCGTTTTTCCCCCTGAAGGATTATATTCAGTTTTGCTGGGTAGGTGACACCATGCACTTGTTTACTGTGACAGTCCCTGCAGCTGCCCCCATGGACTCCACTGGAGGGCCACCTGCCTGCCCCTCTCCCGGCCTACATGGTCACCAGTCTTGTTTAGCTCTTTCAGCCCATGACCCTGGAATGGAACCCAGTCACTGTTTCACCTCCAGCCTCCTGTCTGTCCCCTTTCCACAAACTCCATCCATGATGCAGACAGACTATAGGGCGGCAGACAGCTACACATCCTCCTGGAAGGCCACATTCAGACTCTTCTCAGTCCTCTGGCCCCTGCCCTCATCCCACATGTTCATTCTCGCAAGGGCTTTCCCTCTGGGGGTTCTTAACCTGGGGTTCACAGGATCTGAAGAGAAATGTTGGGGGTCTGTGACCTTTAGAGCAACAAAACCCCTGGGTTTGAGTGGGAAAAATGACCTCTTGGTTCTTACTAACCTTTAGCTCCTCTGTGACCCTATGCATTTTATTCCATGCGTTTACATTCTACGTACAGTCCTTGGCTGTACCCAAAGGCCCACGGACCCCCGCTTTCAGGGGACCATCAGGGCCCAGATACAAACTCTGGCTTCCACCCTGTTGCCTCCTGCCCACACCCGGGTCCCAGCAGTTGGTAACTCCCCAGGCAGCCCAAGGTGACCGTCTAGCTCCTTCAGGGCAAGGACCCTGTCTTAGTTATCTCTGGATCTCTGCCAGGGCCTAGCACACATGGTACAATGCCAGAGTGGGCATTTAGAAATGTTCACTGCGTGACTGAACGTGCCAGTCATGTTCCAAAAGGCCCCGGCTGCTTGCAAACATCCCACTGGCCGGAGGGTTTCGCCATTTGGGAGATCCACAATGTTGAGGGGCCTTGCAGAAACAGGGGGACCATTAGGGCTTCCTGTGGTTCGGTCATTGTGTGGGCCTCTAGGGCAGCCGGTCTCCTTTCCATCGGCAGTGACCCCTGCCTTCAACCTTAAGTTCTTTCCTCTTATTCTGGATCTGACCCATTTTCTGAGTCTCTGCCAGACTTAGGTGAAGCCAATCGCTGTCCTGGTACTCCTGCTACCAGGACAGATCACAGGGTCGTAGATTTAGGGCTGGGAGGGGCACTGGGCATCTTGTCCAGTTCAGACAGGGAAGCAGAGGTTCTACTGAGTCAGGTTAGGTGACTTGCCCCAAGTTAAGCGGGTACCGGCAAAGGAAGCGGCAGCAACACGTTCCCAGCTCTACTCACTCTCAGAATCTGGTGGCTTTAGAAAAGGCTAGTGTGGAGGGCTGGGGCTGGGACCATCCCAGGCACATAAGATGCACATTCACAACCTGGGATCTGTGACAGAGCACTATGACGGGCGGTCCTAAGAGAGCTGGGGGCAGGAGCTTGGGCACACAGAGCAATGTGGAGGACAGTTCATCTCGGCCCCGGCTGCTCCTCTGGCTTTCCCCTCGGGCCCCCGGACTCTCATCCCTGGCTCTGCCTTCACTTGGCTGGCTCAGCTCTGTCTTACCTCCCCAGCACTGACTCCTGGCCTGGCCTCCCCTGCGTGATCTACCGTCTGGTTCCCCCCACTCCTGACCTGCTGGGTCAGACTCCTAATCCTAGACTCCGACAAGAGCCAGATGCTCCAGGGCCAGGCTATTGGACCTCCTCAGCCTGGTCTTGCTGCCTCCTGCTGGCCTCTCCAACAGGGCACCTGGGCAGACTAGATGTCACACCAGAGTTGCCAAGGCCCCACTTAGACCAGGCTTCTTGATGCTTTGCTTGAGGCCACCAAAAAGACATTCCAGGCATTGGCAAAAGCTCCAAACTAGCTCGGAGAAGTGCTAAGACAAGCAAAAGCAGCATCTCAGCTACACGAGGACTCAGTCCGAGTATTAATTAGGCAACAGCGGCGCTCCTGAGTGAAGCCCAATGTGGATGACGGCCCAGCCTCTCTTCTGAGCTCCAATTCTTGTTTCTGTCCTCCTCTTGAAGTCCCAGGAGGGACAGGCCTACTTTTCTCTTTTCTCCCAACACTGTGATTTTCTTCTGCTGGCAAGAGGGGTGAGGAGAACAGGCAGTGCCATCAGAGAGAGGGTGGTACCCCACACTGTCTGAAATGGAACTTGTCACCTTCCCCAGCCCCAAACGAGCTTCTCCTCCCTGTGAAATCTCTTTCAGGTAATGATATACTGCCATCCTGCCGGCCGGTCATCGAGGGCCCCAACTGAGGAGTCAGGCCCATCTAACCACTCAGTTCTTTCTGAGCTACCCTATTTTGGCTCCTGCCCTCCCTCCTCCCCTCATCTAGGGCCCAGCTCACAAGCTGACGGATGCATTACGGGATCACAACGGAACCATCTGAGCCAGAACTTTGGGGCAGACTAGTTCTATATATCTGACATAACTCAACCTGTGGCCCTCTCACGTCCCCCCAGCTTTCCTCCCCTTTGTCTGCTTCCTGTACCCGTTATTTGTAGTTACAAGGATGACCCTCAGCACAAAACCCTCCAGCCTGCCCAGCCCGAGGCTCTGGGCCTGCAGATTCTATTGTAAGCAATCCCCACTATGTCCCTGCTCTCCTCTTCAATCACCTCCACTTTCAGGCTCTGTGGAAACCTGGCTTTCCTCCACCCTCCAACAACTCTCTCCCAGGAAGGCCCACTGTCACACCACCCATGGACCTCCCCGTCCCCCTCCTCCTGCCTACCAGCCTGAGATGGCTCCCCATCTCTTACCCTCACTCTAGGTAATTTCATTACAAATTCAGTGGCTCATTTCCTGTCCCCTGACCATGCAGCCTGGCAGACCCCATGGTCGGCTATTTGGGTAATGCCCTCTCTAGCTTCCTACAATTCCCCATCCTTTTGGTATCTTCAACACTTATTTTGGCCAGGAAGCCTCCACTGGATGCAGTGTATGCTGGTAAATATTCGGCAACAGCTTCTGCAGAAAAAAAGTTATGGCAGCATTATTGACAGTTTCTTCTTTTTTTTTTTTGGTGAGGCATTTGGGGTTAAGTGACTTGCCCAGGGTCACACAGCTAGTAAGTGTCAAGTGTCTGAGGCCACATTTGCACTCAAGTTCTCCTGACTCCAAGGCTCTATCCACTGTGCCACCTCGCTGCCCCGCATAGCTTTTTTAATTAAGCCCAGACAATCAACAATACAACAGACCCACTGACCACTTAATGACTGCCTGTCTTGTCAAGGAGCCGGCTCTCGCACCCTACCGACTGCACGTCTCCACCATTCTTAGAGAAAGCTCTAAAACCATTCCTTCTCTCCATCACTTATTGACTCCCTTATTAAATTCTCTGAGGGGCTATTCCAAAAAAAGCTCCCACTCCCTTCCACCCCAGCCCTGTCCTTGCATCCCACTTCATTCTCCAGAGAACCTGGCCTCCTGCTTTCCACAGCCTCCTTCAATCCTATCCCCCATGCCATGATCTGGTGGTCTGAGTTTGGATTTCGGCTCTGACGATTACTGTCCCTCTGACCTTGAGTGAGTTGCTTCTCTCTGGATCTCAGTTCCATCTCTCAAATGAAGCGCAGGACTGATGATCTCTGAGGTCCTTTCGGCTCTAAATCTGTGCTTCTATGGCTTCCAAAGCTCACTAAATACGCATCGTCTCTTTCATTTGGGGGCAGAGTTTCACCCGGCCCCATGGTGACCCCCGTCAGGGCCGCTGTTCCATCGCTCATGCTCAAACATGTCTTTTCCCCTCCTTTCCCTCTGTCTAAAAACCCCTTCGTCTCCATGCCAGCCCTCCCTCTGGCCTATGTCCAGTTACCATCCCCTCTTGCTCCTCCTTCCCACCTCCTCGTATCAGCCCCGTGGCCACTCCTTTCTCCATCTTTTGCCCCTTGGCCTCACTTCTCTACTGAATCTGCCCTCCCAAAGACCCCCATCTCCATCATCAAACGCTGTGGGTACCAGAAGGAAAAAAGCAGAGATGAAAACACTGCCATGCTGAGGACTATAGGAATGTTTTAATTCATAAATTGGTTTTAATTACATTACGTAATAATATCACAGTCTATTTTACAAGTGTATGAAGACATATGAAACAATGAAAACTAAACATGGGGCTGGAAAATGAATTCTATCCAAAAGCAGAGGCCAAGAAAGAAGGGGCGCCAATGGGACTGAGGGGAGCCAGAGTGGGAGGATGCCATTCACAAGGCAGGTTCCTGGTCAGTGTTCATACAACTGTATCTACAACTGGACAGGGCTCTCGGCTCCCCTCCTTGTCCTGTTTGGGGGGGGGTGGGCTGGTCAGTGGAGGCTGGTCACCAGGTGGGAAAAGACCAGCTGGCTGCCTCCACAGAGCCGGTCAGTCGGGGGAGCAGGTCTTGTGTGCCAGAGGGAGTCAGAGGTGGTGGTGCCAGAAAAGGGGGTGTGGAGGAAAGTAAAACAGATCCCTTCCCTCCCCCCACCCCAAAAACCAAAACCCAAACCCCAATCCTGGAAATACACACACACCCTTCTCTCAGACGTAGAAAAGTCTCACTCTGGACGTGCTGACGAGGAGGTCGTCGTCAAAGAACTTGGTCTCTATGATTACATTCCCACTGTGCGGATGACAGGGAAGAGACAGTGACAGAGAGAGGAGAGGGGGCGTTAGAGAACAGACAGGCAAGGGGCCCGAGGCAACCTTTCCTAACTGGATGAGTACCCTGGTCATTCTGGCTTCAGGCAGCACAAACTGGAGGCAGGAAGGTTTGAAGGCCAAAGGATCATGATCTGTGGGCCTGCAGGCTCCCCCCAGGCAGGGGGGCTCCCCCTCCTCCCCTCCACGGTATTAAAGCGTAAAACAGTACAAAGACTTTTGGCACCGTGTGTGTGTGTGTGTGTGTGTGTGTGTGTGTGTGTGTGTGTGTGTGTGTGTGAAGATGTGAAGATGGATCTCTGGGCAGTGAAAGGGGGCAGAATCAGTATACTCTACACCTTCATTATGCAAAGGTAGGAAAGGAAGGCACACAGAGATGAAGTGACATCTCTGTCCTCCCTCCTGGTGGGGCCTGAGGGTCCCCATTTGAGCCAAATGAGGCATGAAATGACCCTTGAAGTCCCTTCTAGCTCTGACACTCTGTGATCCGGAGGTGAGCTAAGAACTGCTCATCTCCAACACAGGCTCCACCTCACTTTCTCCAGCACCTAAGAGGCCCTGAGGTCAAGGAAGAGAGTCAGAATTTTATTTCCCCAGGGCAGCCATCGTGAGGCTTAGAGGCCTCCTGAGTAAATGAGACCTGGTCTAAGTCAGGCACTGGGCAGAGAAGAATTTTTAACCGAACTGAGAATATATGTCTTGCCCACTCCTGTGGTTTTACAGGCTGCTTACTGATGCTTTTTGATCCCCACACCAGTGCATTATTGGTAGAAACCAATGCTAAGGGCAAAGTGGGAACTCAAGCATGATGGATTGATAAGAATTTAAAAAGCTATTTCCAAGGCTCCTTAAAACACAACATGGTTTTTATCAAGGCTTATTCTCCGTGGATTATCTGGCCTCCCCTATCAGCTCAGCTGGGTGAGTGACAGGCACTCTGAAAGAGAAAGAAATCTTCCTCAAGAGAAACAGACAAAAGGTTTGGCAGGGTCTTTGAACAAAGGGCTGGCTGTACTTTGGGCTGACGTCAACCACTAAGTGACAGTCCCAGACATCAAGTCCAGGTTCAAAAGCACTATAAAACTTAGTAGGGGCTTTGCCAGATTCTGCCACAGGCAGCCCATACCAGGTAGGATGGCTGAGGTTTAGAAAGGTCAAAGGTATGGTCAAGGGAGGAAGACTGTCCTTTTAGCAACCTAAAACATACATCCTGATGACCCAAGGTGCCCTCTGCTAGTCTCTCTCACCCCTCACCTACTGGCCCAGGCTCCCACCCGCTTTTCCAGGAATTCTGGCTTCTCATTCCATTTCCTAAGACCTGCCCACTCACGTTAAGACGTTTGCTGGCATCATCTGGGACTCTGGCGCTGCCTCTATCAAGGACTGCCAGGTGTTTGTGGAATTAGGAATCACGAAGCCGAATTCGAAGAACCACTCTGAAGGAGGAAGGAGAAGCCAGACTGAGCGGGTGTGCTGGGAAAGGGCTCCTGACTTACTCTTTGCCGACTAGACCCAGCCAAACGACCCCAGGCACTGTATCACCGTCTCGGTGGGATACAGAATTGGGCCTCTTCACTTGGAATTACAGCTCTCACTATTTCACATACGTACACATACACTGCCTGTTTGGTAGAATAACAGAGCCCTACACCCTACAAAAAGTGTCCTTTTCAACCATTAAGAATCAAATATTGCATTAGTAACAAATGTCAGGGAAAAGCTAAGCAGGCCCACTGGTGTCAAGAGTTATTTTTGCTTGACGGACTCAAAGCACTTCACAGTTGCTAGTCTGTGTGTGTTCAAGCAAATCTCTTTTTGGGAGGAGGTGGAAGGAGCAGACAGGATGTCCTGACCACCCAACACCATCATCGAGACCTTTCATTAATTTTGGTTCGGCTCCCTTGTTCCGGGTGTAGCTCCGGCTGGACCAAAGCAGGCTCATGGCCCTGGAGCTGGATGGGACCGAGGACTCATCCGGACCAAGCCCCTCACTTTTACAGGAGAGAAAACTGAGACCCAGAAAGGGGAAGTGACTTGAATGTCAAAAAGGCAGCTAAGAGTCATGCTGGGGTTCTAGGGGTCTTCCCATTGTCCCCACTGCCCCCCAAGAACTGCTCTGGCTCACCAGCGTTCCCTTCTTCCCCTCAAGTCAGCCAATGACAAAGTACCTTCTAGGCACTGCCCTTTAAAATACACTTTTTGTTCCAAGCGGAATTTTTCCATCTGCTCTGCTGAAGAAAAGTTCAACTCCCGAGACACTGCCTTACACTTGAGGATTTTCTTGGGGACACGGGCTGAAAAGAAGAACACAGGAACATGGAACAGAATGAATTAAGTTAGAGTCACAGCCTCATGATCACGTGGGGGAGCATCTGACCAGATCAGCTGGGCTCCTCCATGCGTGTCTGCCCCATCAGAAGACTGCCCAGAGTCAATAAGGCACCAGGATTTTGTCCCCATGCCTTCACTAAGCTGATGTACCAGTTACTGTGCCCAGAGAAATGAGGGTTCTGGCCAGGAAAGTAGCACGGAAGCCAAGGATTCACTCTGCCAGTCACTTAGGCTTCCAATTTACATCACCACCATCAACTTCTTTTGGAAAAAAAGTCACCTTGGTATATACAGGCTGATCTTCCAGGCCAGCCAGCTTGGTGGGAGTAAGCAGCTATGATGGCCCCTTTCTGAGGCTCCTGGGGATTTCCCAGGAAGGAGGGAGGGAGGGAGCTGTATGACAGCAAAGGGTGATCACTCCCACCCACATTCCTAGTCCTCACCCACTAGAATGTAAGCTCCTTGAGGGCAGGGACTGGCTTTGCCTTTCTCAGCATTCCCGGCACTTAGCCCAATTCTGGGCACATAGCAAGTTCTTAATAAAGACTTGTTGACTGACTGTCAGATTCTTATGGAAGAGGCTAAAAGCTCCTGGTCTCTAGACTTTGGTAACAATTTTAACAGGTGTGATGACATGAACAACCATGACAAGTGGAAGGATTTGCCTGTTTGGTGTCAGATGGGAGGGGAGGGGAGTGAGAGGAGAGGAAGGAGGAGAAAGAGAAGAAGGTGATGTTCCGAAGCAGGCAGACCCAAAGGCCGAGGTTTCTATGAGGCTATCCAATTCTAAAGCCTGCTCTGAGCTCAGATTCCCGAAAACCTGGCTTTACCTATCCAGTATTTGTTTCCCTGGGACCCGGCATAAGAGCTGGAAGTTACCTTCATGCTCCACCCCAGGGACAGACAGGTCCTCTGTCCCCTGCCACAGGATCTTCCCTGTCTCGGCATCCCGGAGGTTCATCCAATTTCTGATTGAAGAAGGTTAAGGAAGAACAAGCCGCTGACCGCCTACCGGGCTGTCAGGGTCTGCGACCATTGAGTTCATTACTGGCTACTTTTCCATTGCTTAATCAACCTGTTGGGTCCTGTGATGGCAGACTCAATTAGGTAGGGCATTCGAGAGGGAAAAACCGAATGACGAAGTTGAGACCCAGAGACAGATTTGACAGCAATGGAACTCCGACTTCCACAGATCTAGAGGCTGCCAGAAAGCAATGGAAAACCGACTGAGCAATCCCTAATTATGGAGGCCAACTCTGGAGCTACTAAATCTGGAAATAATGACAAAGCAAAACGATTAAATGAAAAATACAACCAGCACCGTGTACACAAGAAGAGGTAAAGTGTGGTAGAGGTGGACAGAGAGCCAGCCTTATTCATGCCTCTGAAACACGCTGGTTGTGTGACCTTTGGCAAGTCACCTGACCTCCCAATGCCTCCTTCAGCTACAGGCTGCAGAAGAGGGGATTCTCTGCACTGATCCAGTCACCGGTCTGCAAAGAAGGGAGGGAGCCACATTCCTATCTCCTCTTCAGAGCCAAGCTCGGTCATTATAGTCACACGTCAAGCTAATGGATTCCTGTGACTCGACCTCCCATGTGTTCTCTTTTTCAGGCTCTTCAGTTCCTTCAACTAATCCTCAAACATGGTATCCTAAAAGTCTTAGCGCAGGGACACTGTGCGCGAGAGCTCGGGGTCCTTTAACCTCTCAGTTGCCCTCCATCAGAAGGCTGCCATCTTGACAACGAAGCATGCTATTCACTCCCTGTCACCAACTCTCAGTGACGGACGTAGGGTGCAGAATGAGACACAGCCAATGTGGGAATCTGTTTTGACTGACCATGTACATTTGTTACAGGGGTTTTGTTTTTCTTTTTTTTTCCCCAGTGGTGAGGAAATTTGGGGGAAAAAGATTTTTGTTCATTGAAAAACAATTTAGGGGCACCTAGATGGTGCAGTGGATAGAGCACCGGCCCTGGATTCAGAAGTACCTGAGTTCAAATCCGGCTTCAGACACATAACACTTACTAACTGTGTGACCCTGGGCAAGTCACTTAACCCCACTGCCTAATTCCCCCCCCCAAAAAAACAATAAAACAATTTTAATTTTAAAAATGTTGTCATCTAAAGATATCTGATCTTTTCTTAGGACTTTAAGTAATGTGTGGAACACATTTGGGACACACTTTGCCAATGATGCCAAGGACAGAGAAAGTCAATTATCTAGGCTTCTTCTGGAGTTCTTCCTCTATCAAAAACAGGGCAGTTAACAAATTCCTGTGTTGCCTTAAAGGCTATGTTATCTCCAAAATGATGGAAGAAGCATCAAGGGGGATATCTGTTCTGGATCTGATTCTGCACAGCAAGGATGAACTAGGCCGAGAGGTAGAAAAGATGACTGGTCACTCCCATCTTAGAATTCATGACAAAGAAGGAGAAGAAAACTGAGCACAGTCACTAGAGATTTTTGAAAATGATTCAGAGAAAATATAAGTAGGATCCCAAGGCCTAAAATTCTGTAGTGTAAATCTGACCAGGAATACAGTTCTTAAGAATGAAATCTGGAGATGCATAAAAAAAGCAATTCAACGAGGAAGCAAAGAGAATTAATTATCTAGAGAGATGTGGCTGCACAGGGAACTCAACGATCAGCTTGGACGTAAGAAAGACACGTCTGGCGGATGGAAGTGACAGTAGGTTGGTAACAGGATGACTAAAAAAACACAGCAAGGTCCTGTAAGAATAGTGTCAGGAATGGTAAATCTCGGAATACCCACCACTGACAAGGAATGGAAACAATACTAGCTACACCAAAGGAGAGATTGGACAAAGGCAATCGTTACATGTGTAACAGAAAACCAACCAATCAATAAACATAAGCGCCTACTATGTGCCAGGCACTGCGCAAAGATAACTGAGAAGACAGAACTCTTCACTCCCTGTTTTTTCCAGGGAGAATCATCTGTGCAATAGGAAGGAAAGAATAATGGCAAATAGGGAGTCAAAATTCAAGCAGGAAGGAGAGCACTTCACTGCTCTCCAAGCATTCGGGTCCCCATGTCTGGATGAACACCACCCCAGGCTACTGAATGAACCTGCTGATGTGGAAGCTGGTTGCACCTTCAAAAGCCTATAGAGAATGAGAGAGAGCTGCAAAGCCTTGAGAAGGCAAAAGTCTCACTTTCAAAAGTAAAAGGGACGGCAATAGAATCCACAAGCCACATGATGGAAAGTTCAACTTTGATTCCTGACAAAACTGTACATGAAGCGGATGGTTCGGGAAGAACCAGTGAAAGAAGTTGGTGACTCTGAGAACCAGTCACTCCCCTGTGCCTGGGGGACCAGACCGATAAGTCTCGTGGACAGGCGGAGCTATGAGGGCCGGACAACTTCACAGGCAGGTGAGCTGGGGCCTGCTGAGTGGCTGGAACTCAAGGGACAGAGCTCACTCACTAAAGGCTAACGTCTTTGGCCCTGTCCTTGGGCGACGATAATGACTGACATGTATAAGGAATTAAAGGTTTGCAAAGGCAGAAGGGGATGGCATTAACAGAACTGCAGATGATGCGACAAAGCTAGGATGAATAACTACTGTGCTCTTACGTCTAGAGCTGGAAGGGACCCTCAGGTCTAGTCTAACCCCCTCATTTTGCAGATGGAAGCTGAGGCTCCGGAAGCTAAGTGAACTGCCCAAGGTCACATAGGTTATAAATGATAAATCTGAGACTGGAACCCAGACCCTTGGGTTCAAAAACTCAACTTCCCAAGTACAAGATGGAAGAGGGATGGCTAGAAGGCAGTTTGTTTGAAAAGAAACTGGAGGGTTTTATGGACGGCAAATTTAATACTACAGTCAGCAGCGTGGCACGGTGGCCAAAGACCCCAGTTCAATCTTGGGCTGTGTTGAGAAAAGCACAGAGTCAAAGCCAAGGGGCTGGCAGTCCTCTGTGCTTCCCGGTCAGGGACATCCGACCGACGTTGTGTTGAGTCCTAGTTGCCCCATTTTAGGAAGGGCGCTGACAAGCTGGTGCAAGTCCAGTGGAAAACCACTAGAATGGTGACGGCCTTGAGATTAAACATAAGGAGAAATGTTTAGCCTGAGGACAGAAGACTTAGTGGGGATATGCCTGGTGGCCCCAAGTGGGTAAAGGACAAGCCGGTGGAAGCAACATAAATTTGGCCTCAGAGAACAGAGCTCTCAGCACCAGGGAAAGAACGCAGAGGTGGATTTCTGCTCCATATGAGAACAATATTCCTAGTGATGGAAGATGGACACAAAACAGGCTGCCTCGTGGGTCCCCAATGCCTGGAGGGTTTTTTAGTAAAGACTGGATAACCACTCATCAGGGCTATTGCAGCAAACATTTTGGTCAGGTATGTGTCATGCAAATGGCCTCTCTGGTCCTTTTTCCCCGAAAACAAACCTGCTGGCCCACGGACTATATGGCAAGGTAGAAAAATATCATCCTGAATCTAAAAGGATTGCCTTGGAATACTGTCTAGCTCTTTCCTTTTAGGGCCTCATCCTCCTCTGCTTCTCCTGCCCACGTGTGTAACTGTTTATCCCGGCTAGGGTTTGTATGCTGTCTGCTGGCCTGAACCCCAAAGGGCTCCTGATGCACCCGACCCATGTCAGTGGTATACACTTGGGATGCAGCCACAAGTAACATAAAGGTATTCGAGCATTTCTCGAGTTTCTGTTAGTAATCAATTTCATCTTGCTCAGGAGGAGTGGTGTAAAAGACATTGGCAAGGACACATATGATTGGAAAAGTAAGGAATGAAAAATCCTAGGTGGACAGGCTCAGTCGTATACCGGTACTCCCAGGCTATTAAAAGGACCAGAATGAAGCCTTTAGTCAATTGGGTAGATCCCCCAGAGAGACTAGAGAGAGCATTTATTACATGCACACCATGTGCAAACACTGGGATAAGTGCTAGGAGTGCAAATGCAAGCAAGACACTTCCTGTCCTCCGGAAGCTAACATTCTAGTGGGAGAAGACAGCGAACACATAAAGGGGAGTAGAAAGGTTGGGCTGCGAGGAGGGGGAGTACACAAAGGACGACACCATCTGGAGATGGGGCTAGGAGGGGAGGGGGAGGCCTATCGGATCCCAGGGTGGGTGGGAAGGAAGTTTTGGGAAAAAGGTGGGGCAAATTTGTGCAGGATGAGAATGCGTGATCTGAATCAGCAGACGGAATACAGACACCAGCAACTTAAGCATCCTTCTCTGGCTGCTGAAAAGGGGAGCCTCCTTTGTAGTCTCTGCCCCCCAGAGGCCTTCCTGAGGCCATTGCTCCATGTACCATTGACATACAAACAATCTCTTTTCTGAGAAGACAAACACAGGGGTGGCGCGATGTCGCGCAGCCTTAGAAACACCATCAGACTAGTTCTCAGTAAATGGAGGTGAGACAACTGAGGACCCATCAGTAGCTAGTTCTCTCTCTTGTGAGGGGGGTGTTCTCACTGTCATCCCCTTTTTATAGATGAGGATGCTCCAGCATTACCCCGAGGCAGGATAAGAACTCAGGAGGGGAGAGGAAAGAGCTCACAGAGATTGACTTCCCTTTTTTCAGTGAAATATGAGGCAAGCTTCTCAGCTGAGAGGGTGGGGAAAGTGGGAGCAATGGGAGGTTTGGGGAGGGTGAAAAGGTTTGGAAGAGTGGCAATAGTGAGTTCATGAGGGAAGTGTAAAAGGGTGGCCCT